CGTGCTGATGAGTTGTTTGACCGTCTGGCAGGCAACCGCTTCTTCACGAAGATCGATCTTTGTAGCGGTTACCACCAGATCCGCGTTGCCACAAAGGATTAGTCGAAAACCGCCTTTCGATTGCGTTTCGGCCACTACGAGTTCACGGTGATGCCATTCGGCCTCACCAATGCACCCGCCACCTTCCAGACAGCGATGAATGACATCTTCAGGGACATCCTTGAAGAATACGTTCTCGTATACCTGGACGACATCTTGGTCTACAGTTATACCTTAGAAGACCATCTCAGACACCTCCGCGATGTCCTACAGCGCTTACGCAAGCATGGCTTCTATGCCAAGCTCGGTAAGTGTCGCTTTGCCCAACGCAGAGTGGACTTCCTAGGATACCATGTGTCTGACCAGGGTCTCCACATGGACGACGCGAAGATCAATGCTATTGCAGAGTGACCCGTTCCCACATCTGCCAAGCAGCTTCGCAGTTTCCTAGGCCTCACCAGCTGCTATAGTAATTTTATCCAGGGATACGCTAGATATTCCTACGTCCTTACCTCTMCCCTCCTCCGGAAGAACCCGCCGTGGTTTTGAACACCCCTGTGTGAGGACGCGTTTCGCGCCCTCAAGAAGGCGGTGACCTGTGCGCCGGTTCTTCGCCTTCCCGATTTTGATCGTCCCTTTATCGTCACCACCGATGCGTCAGACTTTGCAGTAGGAGTTGTTCTTTCTCAGGTGTTTCCCTCTCCTCCAGATTCACCTTACCCCCATGTCCCTCCTTTCCCCCCCCTTCCTGCTGACACTGCTTCTCGACTGACGCCTACCCTCCCACCACTTCCCTCCACTGACAGTCCTCCTGTTACTTACTCCCCGACCATCGCGGAGGATGGAACTGTCGAGGCTCGTGCTGGGGATTGCCCGATCGCTTTCTACTCCCGTCAGCTACTGCCTGTCGAGATAAACTACACTGYCGATGAACGTGAGGTTCTCGCAGTAGTTTAGGCTACCCGGCATWGGCGTCATTATCTGCACGGGGCGCCCTTCACGGTGCGCACGGACAACTCAGTTGTCCAGGCTTTCATCACAAAGCCTAAGCTTTCCCCTCGACAGGCACGCTGGTGGCGTGACTTATCCGAGTTCAGTTTCACCACTCAGCCCATCAAGGGTGAAACGAACCGCGTCGCCGACGCCTTGTCCCGCCGTCCTGATCACAATAAAAAACCCATCCATCTTGCTGCCATCTCCATCACCACTGTTGATCAGTCGGTGATTGACGCGTATCGCACTCAGTACCGCCACTGCCCCGATTATCGCGTCATCCACGCGACACTGCGGAGTGGCAAGACCGTTCCTTCCTACTCCCCCGGGGAGAACGGCCTCGTGTATTGGCATGGCAGATCTGGTCAGCTAGAACCACGTATCTGCGTTCCCTCCACCGGACAACTCCGCGTCCAGGCTGTAGCAGAGTTCCATGACCAGGCAGCTGTCGGTTATATGGGTTTCCACAAGACGTTGGCTCGTGTTTGCTGCCTATACGTCTGGCCGAAGTCCAAGGACTTTGTCAAAGCCTACATCCAGGAGTGTCCTACCTGCCAGGAGGTGAACAGTGCGAACCACCTTCTGTATGGGTTACTTCAGCCCCTACCCATACCTGAGGGTCGTTGGCAGTCCATCTCGATGGATTTCATTGGTCCCCTCCGCCCACCCACTGAGCGTGGTCATGATGCTATCTTGGTCGCCGTCGATCGCTTCACGAAGCATGCACGTTTTGTCCCATGCCGTTATCGCATTAGCGCTCGTGAGGTCGCCGACATCGTCTTCGACCGAGTCGTGAGAGATCACGGCTTACCTCAGAGCATCATCTCAGACCGTGACCCGCGCTTTACCAGCACATTCTGGTGACGCCTACACGAGGTGTACGGATCCCAGCTCCGCTTCTCATCGTCTTACCACCCTTAGACGGATGGTCAGACTGAGGTCATCAATAAAACTCTCGGTAATATCCTCCGAAAGTTTGTTAGGGATGATCAGCAGTGGGACTTACACTTAGCCCACGCGGAGATTGCGTACAACCACGCTGTTTCGCCAGCCATGGGGATGTCACCATTCTATTGCGACCTCGACTACCACCCTCGCGTACCCGCGGATTTCCTACGACCATCGTGGTTGCGCCCAGATACTCGTTGCCCTGCGCTTGACGACTGGATCGCCCACATGGCGACGATTATGAAGCGCGCACACGAGAGTTTAGCCGACTCCCAGACTCGCATGGCCGCACGAGCGAACCGATCACGAATGGATCATCCATTCAAATTCGCTGACGATGTGCTCGTCGACGCACGCCGCTTACAGCTCGAAGCAGATACGCTTCGCAATTTCAGGCGTCGTTTCTTCGGTCCATGCCGCATCCTTCAGGCCGTCGGTTCTGATACTGCCGCTAGTCCAGTCAGCTTCCGTGTGAAGCTACCCGATTACCTTCGATAGGCTCGCGTACACGATGTTTACCACGTCTCCTTGCTGCATCCTTATCGCAGACCGTCCGAGCGCTTCGCCGGACGCCCTTATGAGCGCCCTCCACCTATCATGGTGGACGGTCACGAGGAGTTCGTTGTTTTCGACATCGTATCACGCCGAGTTACCGACGATACCCCTCCACGCATCGAGTACCTTGTGCGTTGGAAGGGCTACCCTGATGAGGAGGCTACTTGGGAGCCCCTCGAGCACTTGCAACACGCCAGGATGTTGGTGCGTGCATATGATCGTGCTAGTCGTGTTGAGACATCTGCTTCCACTCAGCCGACTGACCCTCTTCCTCCTCCTCCGGCTGAGGAGATTGCTGAGGACGAGCCCACTCCCTCTGAGGCTGTTCCTCAGCCGCAGACAGTCGCCGCCGAGCGTCCACAGCGCACTCATCGTCGCCCTTCGCGTTACGATGATTGACACTCTTATCCTCTATCTTTCCCCACTGACTCACACCATCAGGTACTCCATCATCAGCTCTTCTTCAGGATGTTAGCGTTTTGCGGCTCTGCTTCGACATCGACTCCACTGCTACTTCATCGACGTCATCGACTACTTCGACGACTGCAACTACTTTGGACGTGACTACTTCACGTCACCACCCTACCCTGCATACTCCCTTGCCCCTGTCGCATGATGGTTCTCACTTAGCTGGGTCTCTTTGAGTTTGGCTCTCTCTTGGTATCGCATAGGCATTGGGACCGTAGCGTTATCTTGGCTTCCTTGCTCCCAGATCTAGCTCCCTCTCCCAGTCGGTGAGTTGTGTGCATGTTTCCCTCACTCACTGCCCTCATCACCCTAGAGCCGGCTATTGCATGCCTCCAGTTCGGCATAGCTCCACCTTATTCCAGGCTCCCCTTTTCATGGTCGACCCTGCATGGTGTCACCTTTTTGTTGAGCATTACCCGCCTTGATGGTCTATTTGTTAGGCTCATTGGTTTTGTTTCACTACCACTCTCCCACCTTGAGCCTCATGACCTATCATACTACATTTCATTTTCTGCTGTTAGCTAGGATATGTATACCATACATTTGCTTTTCTTTTGACATTATGTAGCTTAGGATGCATCGCATGGACTCCGCATGGAGCTTGCTCCGCATCCTAGATTTCTCAACTTTCTTTATTGCAGAGTTCCGCTGCTTTTGCGGATAGCGTGTTTATGGCTCTTGCGATCCATTACAAGTCTGAGGATCGTACAGCGGGCCTTCATCTGCCCTGGCCTACAGCCAGGGCCTATTTGGCTATTTGCCCAGTTCGACCTGTGGGACCAGGTCGCAGCCTGACCCCATAGGCCGTGTGCTGTTCTAGTCCTGCCCGGTACCATTGTCGGTACCAGGCCAGTCCAGTCCAGTCAGTCAGTCCGCTGGGCGTATACCCCAGCACTTGTCTGTTTTTCGGGATTCTTCACTTTTGCAGATCTTGGAGTACGTGCGTGTTGAATCTGCGCCGAAGCTGCGCTGTCCCTTCCAGCTCCATCTCTATCTCCTCCCTCGTCTACCCTTCGTCTCCATCCTGTCGGACCGCCATCCCGGCGGGTCCAGCACACTAGTGCTAATTTATTCATCTTTATAATGGCTCCAGTCATTACATTTATGTTAAGTTTAGTTGCTTGGGCAGTCATACCTTTTGATTATGGTATGGTACTGTCAGATTTAAATGCAGGTATACTTTACATATTTGCTATTTCGTCTTTAGGTGTCTATGGTATTATAACAGCAGAAGGATGGAAGTGGATGTTGGTACGTCGCATGCGGGTGGTGTGGACAAAGAATCTGAGCATAGGAGATATGTTGTATAACTTTCAGAAGATAGCCAGGGAAAGTGAGGTGAAATGTGAGTGTTGGAGCATGGGACGGGAATTTCCCCGACAGGATGGGCATGTTTGTTTTCGGATGAGTAAGGCGGACTTTGTACCGGACTGGCTGAAGAATGTCAGGAATGTTCCCAGACCATCGAAGGGGTGCACATCACGGTGCTTGCGTAGGCAAATTGTAGCAGCATTTGAAGGGTTTGCAGAATCGGCCGTGACTTCCCGGGATGATATGTACGATGAGATGTCTGGACCGATTTGGAATGACTGTTTCAATCATATAGTTCGGGAGGAAAGTGTGGGATGCACTACGGATGAGGTGGGAAGATGGAAGAGTCGTTTTTACAAGCTGGTGTTGTGTCCGATAGATCATAATCCCGGGGATTCACTGATCTGTTGCCCGAAAGTGTATCAGGAGGGCATGAGGATGATGTTTTTAGAGAATCCGGGTTTCGAGGCATGTTCGGAGACAGAGGAAGAGCTTAACATTCGGAGCAGTAGGTAATTTGGGGAGTTGAGGATCAGCAGTTTGGGGAGGTGGAATGCAAAAGGGAGGCTAGGAAGATGCTATATCATACCAAAGCACAAAGATACGAGGAAATGGCATCCGATCTGCCCGACTTTTGAAGAAGGCGGGGTTGGGGCTAGTCGGCGTGTGTCCAGGGTGGTTAATCGGCTGCTTTGGGATTTACCTTCGCGGAGCCACTTCAACATGAAGAGTACGGAGGAATTGGTGACGAGGATTAAGGAGGCAAACAAGGACTTGAGGAAGGATGAGGAATTTGTGTCGGCGGCGTATGACATCAAGGAGATGTTTTGCAATCTCCCGCACTATGTTCTTATGGAGGCGGTCAGATGGATTACTGATTTCTGGGTACTGCAGGGTGCAAAGGGGGTGATGCTGAAGAACAAAGGCAAGGAGGCAAAAATTAGAATGGGAGAATGTCAGGTGGGATGGACTGAGACCAGATTTGTGGAGGTCGTGCGTTTTGTGGAGTTTGATTTAGGATGCACGTACGTGATGGCAGGTGGGAGGATTTTGAAGCAAAGAATTGGTATACCGATGGGCAAGGCATCGAGCCCTGCTCTGGCCTGTCTGCTGTCTGCACACGCTGAGTTCACTTTTCTGAATTCGTTAGGGATGGAAAGGTACTTGACGTACGGGGCAAGGATTGTTGACGACATATCTATTTTTGTGAGGTGCAAGAAGGGAGATGTGGTTTCGAAGAAAAAGGCGGAGAGGGTGATTGAGAAGTTTGAGAGGTGCTATCATGAGAACCTGACATTGGAAAGAACGGACAAGGGCAGTTTTTGGGAGTTTCTCGGTTGTGTTGTGGGGGTCAAGGATTGGCCGGAGGGAATTGTTTGTGCAGCAACTCATAAGAATCAGGTTGGAGTACAGAGCGGCCGGTTAGCGTTTCAGAACCTACAGGACTACTGCACCTACTCGAGCCGGCAGCAGAAGCTGGCGGTGATAAGCTCATTCCTGTACAGGGCAAAGCGCTACACAACCATGCAAGGTGCAGAGGCCGTGTTTCTGTTTGCGCTAAAGATAGAGCTACGATTGAGGGGCTTCCCGGATGAATACTTTGATACGGCACTCAGATCGTTCTCTAAGAAGTTCGGAGGGCTATGGGAGGGCTGGGTGTTGTGTCTGACAGGGTGGGACTGTTATCAATGGAGAAGGACCTGACTTTGCTGGTTCTGTCCTTTTCTCATTTCTTCTCTTCTCTCTGCTCTGAAGGTCTTTTCTGTATTTCGCTCTGGGTAACTTCTGTCTTCTGAGATCTGATTTTTTCCTTCTCTGATTCTTTCTTTCTTTCGACTGTTCCTGTGGGGCTCCTCTCTCTTCTGTGGCCTGCACTCTGACTTTCTGTGTTCTTAGTCTGGACAGTCTTTTGTCTTCTCTCTTCGTTCTTTTCTCTATCTCTGTGGCTGGCACTCTGGCTTTCTGTGTTCTTAAGTCAGGACAGTTTCTCGTTTTCTTTTTCTTTCTTTCTGTTTCCGAAACCTGTCGCGAGTAACTTGTACTTTGATTTCCCTATGTTCTTGAGGAGCAATGAGGTGGGGGAATCGAGGGGAGTGTAGGAATTGGGTGATGCTGAGGCCGAAGACGAATCAGGGGTGTTATAGGAGCCGAAGGTCTAGAAGTAGGCTATAGGAGTGTGAGTGAAGCTGAGGCCGGGGTGTACCAGGGGTTTTGTTGGATTTGAAGGCCTGGGAATGGGGCCGGTCTGATAATAAAGGATGGGACCGGTTTCGGAGGGTCGTTCCGTCGTTTGGGACAAAAAATAGGTTGTTTTTTCATACTGAAAGTGGTCCAGGTATGTGTAGGCTGTTTTTTAAAATAGTTGTTTAGGTGTCTTACGGCCAGTGTGAAGATAAATCTTTCTCTCGAAGTTTGGGTTTGCGATTGAACCTTCTGGAAGAATCCTTTCTAGTTTGGGTTGACGAGCGACTACTTAAGTAATTCTTTGGCTAGTTTTTAATCCTCCTCAACTCGCGACATTATCCTGACCCCTGATGATGACCGGCTGGCGACCGGTCGAAACGCGGCGTAGGGTCCCGCTGCTGGCTTGAATTAGCGTGGCTTACAAGAAACTGACGACGGTCAGACTAATGTTAGCCTTTCTTGCACTTTGGCCAACTTTACGATGGGCGGTTTATTTTCTTAATCATTTGGCCCTTCGAGGTTGTGTTCGGGAGAGATACTGTGTCCTTTGTCTCTTTTGTCATCTCACCTCTCTTCTCCATACCTTTCATCTATTTGTTATGTTTGGTGTCCTGATGCTTGACTCTTGTGCTTGGTAATTCACGGTAATTACGGGACTGATAACGTGAGCTGAATTTCGTTTGAGTTTATTGGTGTGCTTCGCATCAATTAACCTGCATCATTCCTTTTATCAGAGACCCCCTGTAAGTACCCCATTATAGATGGTCAATAAGTAGGGGATGATAGCATCCCACACGGCACGATACAACTCAATAGGGAGGCCATTATCCCCCGGACATTTCCCTTTCGCCATCTGTTTGGCTGCAAAGAGTAACTACTCCCCCGATATTGGTCTCTCAAGATCTAGTTTGCTAGGGGTTTGGAGTGTCCTTTTGGAGTATTTCCAAAACTCTGAGTTGAGTCGCAGATCTGTGTGGAAGCCATCATAGGGTCTCCTAGTCGTTAAGATGTCTTGGAAATATAGGCAAGCATATTCCGACATTTCGTCTAGTTTTAAAGATATCTGCCGGGTCACCGAAAAAGGATGAGCGAGCTCCGTCATAGGGGTCTTGGTGGTTTGTAGGAGTAGACGTCTAAATGTCTCCTTGGTCATCCTATCTCCTTTCACAATAGTTTTTCGCTCCAACCATGCCTTCCATTGTTCCTGTTGCTTAACTTTCATCGCTTCCAACTGTGCCAAGGCCTTTTTGCTGATGCTCGTCCAATACATATCTGAGATTGCGTGCTTTCCAAATCCAGCCATTGCTTTATGGATTTTGTTAATGAGTTTAATCCCTTGCTTTTTCCTTTGGATGGCTTTCAAATGTGACATGTTACTGAGAGCGCCCTGTAGCAGTCTAAACCCACCCTTCGTCCAGTCTTCCACTGTATTGAACAACTCTTTTCCATTGTTCCATTCCAATAGGTGATTTTTAATCCAGCTTATTACATACGGGTCATTCAAATGGTGGGTATTCAATTAAAAAAAGGACAATTTAAAACGGAGGCTCCGAATTCCTGTTTTTGAGCAAAGTGGTCCGACTACCATGACTCGCCCAGTTCCATCTTTTTTTTTTTTTTTTTTTTTTTTTTTCAACACCCCCTCCAGTGTTAGTGATGCTGGTATAGGCAGCCACCACTAACACCTGGGGAGAGGCTCCATCTATTGGTGGGGAGCGGCACCTGCTGGAAAACGGGTCCAGCGTCCCATTTACAATTGCTGTGGAGTGTATCATGAGTGTATCTGGAACTGCCTGTGGGATGTACCTGCCAGCATTGATTACTTTGACGTTCAGAGGATTGACTGAGCAGGATATTTGGCACGGGAGAGAACCTCTTCACCCTGTACCAGGCACCTGATGTCAACTGCTACAAAATAGTTCCTCCCTCCCCCCTCTAGACTCTTTCTCATTGCTTCCAGCATCCCATTACAGCAAAATTTACAGAATGAATGAAGACTGACACTTATCTTACCCCCTACCAGTATGCCGCTAGCACTACCAGCGTACCACCACCTTACAGATGCCCGAAAGTAGCATGCCGTAAGCACTTATCTAACCCTCTACCAGCGTACCACCTCCTTACAGATGCCCGAACCATTGTCTTTCTACAATTGCTGTGGCTGGCGGAGGGAACATGTCTGGGAGCTGCTCAGGGCTCTTTATGCCCAGTTCCATCTTAGTACAATAGTCACATGGTTTATCCCGGATGAGGAAATAATCCATTTTTTCCCTCACTGGGGGGGGATTGTGAGCCAAACCAGGTATACGAGGTTGTTCCGGGTTCAGGGTCCGAAAAACATCAATCCCTGGTCCCTTTGAGTTGGTATGGCTATGATTGACAAGGAAATGGGTTATAAGGGAAGTGTCTTTCAGTTTGAGTTTGGTATGATGTCCACGGAGTTCTCTTGCAGGAGGATTTGGCAAAATAGTATTCAGATAGTCCAAATCTCATTCGAGCCATCATCTTTTTTTAACAGTATCTTTTATTTATTTTGGTACCAGGGCTTATCTGAGAAATCTGGCGCCTCTCTGATGAGGGTGAAGAGGTACAAGGGACGCTGGGCCCGATTCCCAGCATGATCAGCTTCATCCTCTTTTCACTACACTGTTGTGAAGGACGCTGGACCCGGTTTCCAGCAGGTGCAGCTCCCCACCAATGGAATGGAGCCATCTCTTATCGAGGGTGTAGAGCGGGTGACTGCTCTTATCAGCACCTCCCCCACACCCTTGTAGATGTTTCAGGTGTTTAATAATCTGGTATCCGTTCTCATTACCAGGGTTCAGAATAGAGTTCCAATCCGCTCCAATTGTGAAGTTTGAAGAGTCAGGCAGGAAGCTTGATGTGACTGAGTGGTTAGAGCACCGATTGGAAATGCGCATTGTGGTATGAGGTTGCAGGTTCAAATCCCAGCCTTCGCATGGGCACCGGCAGGGCGTTAGATTGACGCACAGCTGGACACCCCCCCCCTTGGGATGACTCAGGTTAGCTATTACAGACACTGCCTGCACACCGCCCAAGAGTTGTTCATGGTGTTGTTTTTGGGTGTTCTGTTGATCTCCCCAGTGGCATTCGATAATATGTTACAAGGTCACGGATTCGAGCTTGGTTCGGACCTTGGGGGGGGTCCCTGTCTAGCTTATCCCATTCTCTCTCTTCGATATACAGAGCATACATAGCCTTTGGACATAACATAGAATTATATATCGCCTATGGGCTATATATACACACAGAGCTTTAGCCTTCGCACATAACATAGAACTAGATATCGCCTACGGGCTACATACACACATATATATATACTACCTAAGCGCCCGCGGTGCAGGCGGTGCGGGCAATGCCCGCAGTGGAAAAAAAAAAAAAAAGTCAGGCGCAAACCAACTGCTAAATTTCAGCACTATTAATGAATTCAAGAAACGGAACACGCATAGAGAGACAGAGAAAGGGAGAGAGAGAGAGAGAGAGAGAGAGAGAGAGAGAGGGGGGAGAGAGAGAAGGACACAAATAGAGAGAGACAAAGGAGTAAGAAAAAAAGAATGCGATTGGAATTGCTTGGTCGGAGGGTGTCTAAAGTGACTCGATCGGTAGGTGCCTGGAGTGGCTCGGTCAGTAGGTGCTTGGAGTGGC